TACTACGGAGTATGGACCAAAGGACATGACTTATGTTCAACGGTGCATATGGTAATATGATGTTTTGCTCATAATATCGGAGAGACTGGGTTGGCAACCGAAACCCCGGCCCGGTTCATTGAGCGCCGCGCAGCAGGCGCGGGCGCAAGACCGTACCCGCTCGACTAGTCGTCGAGCGGCCCGAACATTGCACGATGTTGCAATCGGTTTGGCTGCACGGGCAAATCCTCTTCTCAGGGGTCTTCGTAATAACACCGACTCGGCACCTTTATAAAACTTCGTACGAGTGTCAGCCTCCTATCTGGGCGCTTTGAGCCGCACTAGTGACTAGTGCAAAGAAGCTGCTAGCGGTACCCCAGGATTGGGAGAAGGTAGAGCCAGAGATAGCTGGAAATGAATGTCATGTCTGGTACGGGCGAGTAAAAACACCGTGCACTTGCTTAGAAGATGGCAGCCGCTTCCGAGAGTGACGTCCTGATAGAGCCTTGTTTAGATACGGGTTTAATGACTAATCTCGTTCACAAGTGCAATTTTACACGCAGTGCCTGTCGGGAAAATGAAACTCAACAGGGTATACCAGAAAAGAAGCAAACTTCCGTGGAATTTTACGGTCCGTTATATGCCTGCTACGAAAGTGCAAAATCCTTTTCATGAGAACGATGCGGCACGCGGCTTTATGCAATGGTATTTCAAGAATGTCTCGCTTCGCTTGTGCCTGCAATTGCCTGGACTTCTTCTTCCTAATGCGGAGGTCTGGCTCTACACATGACTGGTATTCTTCGTAATCTACAACGTTGGGTGTACTCTGTAACTTCTGGACAATTTAGAACGGGATACTTGTTGCGCTTTTGAAGCATAACTCGCGGCCTTTATATCGGTATCGCCCAGAGACAGATAGTCGAAGTGGACTGCGCATGCAGACGGAATGAAAGCTTTTCATGATGCTCACAATTAGTAAGGCCGCCCATTTCAACAGATGACCCCCGACTACCATTCATGCAAGGTTGCGCGATCATCCACGAATCTTTTGCTTCAATCGTCAGCGACACAGTCCGTTGCAAACGGTTGATAGCAAGAGCTCCGCGTCGCTTCAGACTGCAGTTGATGCATTGCATTGGTTCCCAGTTGCCGGTGAGGCAACTAAGCAGGCTTACCGGCCCTGTTAGTGCAAAATTATCCGCCAGTTCATTGTGTAAGGGTGGCCGCGTCGCGCCAAGTCGAGCGCAGCGCGCTGCCGCGGGTGCTGTAGGGAAAAGGCCAAGGTGGCACCCCCGTGGAACACCTGCAATTTTAATTGTCCGGCCGTTGCCCCTACGAACGACCTTTCGAGCGACATGATTCCTTCCGCCATTCTTTGCAAGCCTCTAGCCACCGAGTATCCGCGCGCCTCGTTATGCGCCATGATTCAGGCCGGGCGCGGCGCGGCGGCACGTTGCGCAGGCATGCAATTGTTGGCCTGAGCGTACAAGCTCAGAGCTGCCGTAACGCCGGTTGTTGATCACTCTGGGCGGCTGCCGGATCACCCCAATGGTCGACTCAGGAGTATGAAGCGCAGGCATATGTACGTCTACGCATGCAACCAACCAAATCTATGTTCGGCGGAATGATTTCAATCATGCAAAACGTTTTAAGGATCCTGAATCGAGTTCTGGTCGAATTAAATTCGATTATCAATTAATTCAACAATCCCATATATATCGGGCCGGCCTATTTGGCAAACGAATCGTTTTAGATTCGATTGCAGTTGCAGGAGCGCGCACGTACGGCCGCCGGCAACTTGAAGAAGACGGTCATGCGTTGCACAACTTGTTTAAGCCTCCATCAAGCGCGCGCTGCGGCTGCGCAATGATCATTCTGTTGTCTGTGCTAAAATTTTTGCGACTGAACTCTTATATACGCCCCCGCCGGGCCGACATAGATCAATCATGTTGCTGTGATACTAAGGTTGCAACACTCAATCACGATTCAGTAACTTTGCGTGCACAATCTGCAAGGCCCGGGCCCGTTGATGTTAACGGCATGCTCGTACGTACGCATTTGTGTAAGAATATGTCGTGCAGCACTATAGACGATATACTACAACCATATGCAATGCAATTGATTGAACCAAGATCCGACTTTGGTGACGCCCATGTCACAAGACAACACGACTCAGATGAGTATGAAAACTCTTAACGTGTCCTCAGAAATCAAAATCTGGAATCGAAAACGTTTCGAAGCAACGAGGTAAAGCTAAACACGAGCTTGCGCTCAATTAAATACGCCTCAAGAAGCAACTATTGCCCGCAAGGCCCCACTGATTTCGGGGTACTTGAAGGTGAAGCCCAAATCCTGTGCCTTCTTTGGAAGAACCCGCTGGCCTTCAAGCACCTGCTAAAGAAAGCAAACAGTCCTCGTCAACATCTGCGATAGCCCTCCCTTGGGGCACGAACTCACTGTGGATTGAGCACAATCTTTCTCTAGCCCGTACCTTGGCAGAGTGCAATGAGCATCTGTCTATCTTGGCTGTAAAAAGGTTGCTGATCTTTGTCGCTGCTTCATCCAACTCAACAAGCTCTTTCGACTCTTGTTGGCAGCAAAACAAAGGTGTCACGTTGTGCTACAAGGATAAACGCAAAGAACACGGACGTAATCATAGGAAAAGCCGACGAGAAGCCCAAAAAAGGTTCAAAGACACTCGTCTTACCGTGGACGCCCCTTCGCCGAGCAGCGACCGAACTGCAAACTCGGGAACCGGGAGCCAGGAAGGCCTCCCCAGCGCCTGGCCTAACTTGTCGCACATTTCGCCCAGAGTCACCGGGTTGGGCGCGGTTCCGTTTACAGGGCCTGCGGACAGACGTGGGCGGTCAGCTGACAGGTGGCACACTGATTCGAAAGTGCTATCTGAACGTCAAGGTAGAAAAAGTCGGACGAAGGTATGTGGTTTACGCTCTAAGAAGTGTGCTCGCAGCGTTTCCTCTTGAATGACCGCGCATAAAGCTAGTAAACGGGGAAATTTCAAAACCCTAGACAATCCGTTCCTACTGAGTTCGTTGCGGTCAAGCCCTGTCGCTGCGGATCCAGGACTCTCAACACGGCATTGATTGCAAGCGAGTTCGAGCATTAACTTGGTCAGTATTCCCCGAAGAGTTCTAGGTACGTGAGAAGTCTTTGCAGCCAAGCTTTTGCACCTTGGTATCGTAAGAAAACCCGGAACGGGCTTCGAAACGGAACGGCAATCGCAGGAGACACCGGTCATTCAAGGCGCAACTCGAGAAAGAAGATGACAATGGATTGGACAGCCCGCCAACGTCCTCCGAAGCATCAAGGACCCATACTGAATGGAAAAGGCGGGTGTTTGCTTACCCTCATACTTCGGATTCTCCAACGCTTCAATAATGAGGTTGGCCAAGTCGTCTCGATGGACCCAGGAAAACCTGCATCCAGGAAGATAAGCACGCCCCGCTCAGTGAAGCAGTCAAACGGATGGACACGGAGAGCGAAGCTCGTCACCGGCAGGGCAGAGAAGGTTTGTGAAGCTCGCGATGCAAACGAACGGTCGATTGACCAGAGTTCTGCATACTAAAGCAAACAGATGACAGCAGCAACGAACAGGTTGAACGAACAAACATCTGGGAAGACGACTCTTGGATAATGAAAACGAGAGCGCTCGATGATCAAGCAGGTCGATTGCTTTCCGTCGGTTGAAAATCGCATATCTGGCGAGCGTTGACTAAGTTCCTCACCATTGCCGTCCGGAGCCAAGGGGACCGCCCGCGAACAGCTGGAACAGGGGGATCATCTTGGCTGCATCCAACAAGGAACGGGAAAGAAGTGAGCCCGCAGCGCTTAACTCCGAGTTGCATACGTCTCCGAGTTCCTCATACTGTCCCCGCAGGCTGCCCCGAACAGTTTCCAAGCTCTAAGCAGCGAACAAACAAGAGCGACAGTTCGCCTGCTGTGAGTGACGTCACCAACTTAAAAAGAGGCAACGAGTCCGTCACAAGAGAACGCTCCTGTTATTTTGACCACCCCGCCAGCGACTCTCTCTTTTGTTGGTCAGAGCGTCCGACGCTTCTTGTTGGCCGCCAGAAGATACCTCACGTCAAATGTACTTGCAAGACACGCCCGCTTTGCAAGAAATGCTCGTTCTGAGGCTCTCTTAGAGACTTTGATGGATGGTGCTACCGATAATCGAGATCATTGTGGAATTTCAATCTCAGATGTTCGATTTCAAAATCAGTCTCACGGGGGACTATCTTCAGAGAGGATGCGCTCACCTAGCGCCCCCCCGTCCTTATCCAACACTATCCCCGTCCGCACCAGCACCAACCGTGGCCCATTCACACCCTTTGCCGCGGCCTCCCACTCTCGACAAACTTGCGCTAGGTAGTCGTTGCCGGAAGGACTGTCCTCCACGAACCGGGCGGTGTCGCTAATGCCTGAACAGACGAGAGCTTCCGTCAAAACGGGCGAGAAAGTAGGTATCTCGGAAAAGATTGCACTCCGCTGCCAATTCAGAACGGGTATTTCTCAGTACATGCTGCTCAGGAAGACTGTCGTCAGTATACCTCAGAAACTTCGCTTATTTGTTTTGAGGGCAAGTTGGGCTAGAGCGGGCGCAGGCCATGCATGGTCAAATTGAGTTGCACAGTGACAAAGCCCTGACAGATCAGCCGGTGAGAGCAACAGCAGTCGAAAGCGACGGGAATGTGACGCCGTTGGAGTTAGACGCCGACATTGACTTCAACGGCCGCTTGAAGGTCAGCTGATAAGAGCTGCCCGACTGTGCATCGTCAGAACCAGAACGAGAACTCAAGACTGTGGTTGCTGTTTCCCAAACACTGAGCGGGTTTTTGAGAAGCGTGGTTCCATGGTTTTCAGGAGAAAGGCACCTACCGTAGTACCCCAGCGCCGACGAGCTTACAAAAGCTTTCGGCCGTTGGTTTTGTGGAAGCGCGTTGATGGCGTCTACCAACTGCGGAGAATGAGCAATCGTGCATCCATTCAGTGCGACAAGGTGAAGTCCCAATAATGATTCGAAACTCACAATGTGTCCAGGTAGCTCGTTCCCATAGAGGACAACTTCCCGTGATTGGTCGGTGGTTCCTTTGACGGACCAAAATGGAAGTGGACCTATTCTGGGCGTCAGCACCATATGCTCTTGGAAGAGGACATGCATGCCATATGCTAGCCTTTGTTCTCTTGGAGAGGGCAACTTCTCTCCGCAGCTCGACAACCCTGCCAACCTTTTAGAGGACAAAGTCCAAGGCTTTCCGTCAGGAATATCGGTTAATTCTTCACATGCTCACCCGTTTCGTGGTCTTGATTCTGCTGGCCTTGATGTCCGCCTTGACCTCCTCGTTCCACCGCGTCGCGATCGGTGTCCCGACCAGGTTGACCACTCCCGTCGTGCCAGCTAGCGCCTGGTTCCATTGGTGGGGCTCTGCAATCTCGATCGACTTGCCTGCATGGAAGCAAAAGTCGCTACTGCTGCCAATCCACCCAAGTCCTCCATTCTAGCTCTCATTAGCAAATTCAAACACATTGGTCGTCTTTATGGGGCTTCAGAAACTTGGTCGACTTGCCTGCAGAGGGAAATCCAAAGTGTATCCCAATACCTAGCTCTTCTCTTCAACTGGATTCAGCGATCGACTAATTAACGGTGTCCTGGTGCCGCTTCCCAGATGTCGAAGACAAGCCTCATTTGTTCCAGAGCATTGAGCGTTGGCCGACGTACAATCGACAATTACCCCTTCGAATCGAAGATGTAAGAGTCAAGTCACGAAACGTTGACTTGGTGGGCATGGAAAAGCAGGCCGAGAGCCGCTTGTGTCAGCTAAAAGAGCCGACAGTGCGTACCTGAGAAGACCGACTTCGCTTTGTCCGCCGACCTCGTCAATACCTTCACTTTGTACCCTTCTGCAGGAACGAGATTTGAAAAATGATACCATTTGTTCCAAAACACAACATACTCATTTGAGTACTCGGCAGAGGATATCGACAAGGATGGCCAAGAACTACTACTGTCAACTGAGCACCAATCCCCTAGAAAGTCTTGTTCACTGGAGGAGAAAAGCTGGGCCCCATTGCCCCGCTGATGTTGAAACTCTTCCAGAGTCACTTGCACAGCAGGCGGCTTCTCACGACACACAGTGATACGATAAGAGCGAGATCGTAGAAGAGCCTGATCCGGAGGGAAGGGCCTTACCATTGAGAAGCTTCTCAACAAGTTTGCTGCCAATAAAACCAGTTCCCCCCGCAACTGCAATTGTGCCCTGCAGGCTGAAAGCAACTTTCAGATTTGAAATCCATTGCACGCTGACGAGAGAAGTCAACGCTCCTCAGAGTAGCTCGTTCAGCATGTGATGTCTGGCCGTTGGACTTAACATGCTTGGCCTTCATGCTTAGTTACGTGGTTTCCGCCGATATAATAGCTAGTCCAACGACTCTGTAATTCAAGCAGCAAAACCAAAATGGTCAAAAGCTGCCCCTTGCTGCAAAATACCAGACAGCTCACTTGCGGGGTTCAGAGACACAAAAAAGTACAGTCTACAACTCAAAGCAGAGAATCAGTAAGGATTACAGAGAATCAATAAGATTCATACTTGATTAACATCGCCAGGAACTTAGGACGGGCAATTGCGGACAGACTCCCGTCTGTGAATTGGTTTACCTTAGAACAGCTAAAGTCTTGCTTACCTTGTCACCGTCAGAAGAAGCTCTTATCGACACCGCTTGTAAGCGAGGAGCCGGTGCGCGACCCACTTGTACCTGCAGTCAATGCACCGTGAAGAAGCTCACAAATTCCTAACCGTAAGTCCTACACTAGCTCAAAACTATATCGAGTTAATTGAAGAAGGGAAAGAAGTTCAGGGAAAGAAAAAGCGTTCTTTTCCTAGGGTGCCACAGCAAGCATGCAATGCTGTCTTTTCTGTGAGCGCTCCAATGAAATAAGTAAGAAAAAGCTTGCACCACCATGCCACCACCATACATCGACAAAGACCAACTCTTCATCATTGCTCTGAAGAGGACGGCAAGGTCGCCAACTCCGAAATAGGTCAGTGCCCAATCTCACTGGTGCGCTCATAAAAGTGAATGCTGTTGCAGAAGCCAAAAGTGCACTTCAGGAATGCTTTGCAACCCCAATCAGCTAGAGACAGGCGGGCAACAACTCACTGCTATGGAAAACGGCTTCCTACCCCTCACATTCTTTGTTGTGGCTGATTACTAGCTGCATTCAATGTAAAATTGACAGTCGGTATTGTGAGCACTATAAAAATCCTGCATTTTCTAGGCCACATGAAAAGCTATCGAATTCACCTGTTTCCGCTCGCCTGGTAGTTGCTTTCCCCAAAACGATGTTGGTAAACAACCCGCAACGTTGTTTGCTACTTTTTGCTGTTGGACAGAGTGGCTGGGTAATAGACGTCGCAAACCAACCGCAGAATTCAATGCCTGTGGACAGCATTCAGGTTTTGAAGTTATAAACCCTGCCTTGCTGAGCTCAACAGGGAGCAACCTTGATGTGGCCGCCATGAATTCAGCTAGGAAGTTCAAAGAATCATGGGCCTGTCACACTGCAGCCTGCAGTCTGCATTTGGAGATCGGATGACGCACTGTGTATGTACGAGCCGTCGATGACAATCAGACAGTCGAATTGGATCTGAAACCGTTGATTCAAGCTTAATATCTGAAAGCAGATCGAGGGTGCAGCTTCATACCGGTAACTCTCGTGTGACCTAACGGGCGTGTGACCTAAGATACGAATTACCCGGGCACATC